AGTAAGCGGCCCTCCGCCCGAAATAATTGCCCACCCCTGTTTTAGGGACATCCCAGAACCCTGAATGAACTTGTATGTGAAGTGCCTGAGGTACTATAACAAATATGCAATCTCATTAAAATCAGCTTTCCACTGAAGGACTGGAAGGTACCATACACTGTACTGGTTTAGTGGGAATTTCAGCGTGGTGAACCCTACTTGAGAAGTGGTAAAGTTGTTTAAATGACAGGGTCATAAAACACCTAGATGAGCACAATACACTGAAGATGAAGCAGCAGCGCTTCTACAAAGAAAAAATTGTGCCTCGCTAATCTATTAGCATTCTTTAAGCATATTAGCAAAATGGTGGATAAGGAAGAAGCAGTTGGTATAATTTATCAGGTTTTTCAGGAAGTGTTTGGCACTGTCTAACCACCTCAGGCACTTATAAATTCATATTCCCATAGTGTCTGAGTACCTCACAGTCCAAAATTGCTCAGCCAGCTTTCCAAATCATCCTTCAGTTCTCTCTAAGAGGTAGTTAAGGAAATTAAGTAGGTGCAAAGAGAGAGAGGCAACGTATTGCCAAGGATTAGAAACTGGCTAAGAGACAGAAAACAAAGTCTGTTGATTTTCAGCTCCTTATAAGATTGTTAATTAATAGGACGTCCCAAAACCTCTCACTTGAAATGAGAAAAATCACTTTGCAGTTTCCCTGCAGTGTCAGACTGACATTTGGGGTGGTTTCATAACAGACTATTCACAAAAGTGTGGTTCACCTGAATGCATGAAACAGACCCAGAAGATCAAGAACCCGCAGGTTCTGGATTTCAATGTTGGCATGCTGAGTTTAACTGCATTTCCATTCATAAAGCAAAACCCTCCAGGTGTGACGTGAAACCTCCCTGATGTCTGCATTTGTGTAACACCGCAATAGCCAAACCAAATCAGCCTAAAATATTGTGGGAAGACTCACATCCCCAAGATGTGCCCCAAGCTATCAGTTTTGGGCCTGGACTGCGTTTTTCTTGCCAAGTAAGACTTGGGAACCGTAAAAGGAACCACAGCTAAAAACGGTGCCCTGCTGGAGCATCTAAGCTGGGTCTCAGGACACTAGGGTTCAAGCCCCAACTCTACCACAGAGTTAACCTTGGACAAGTCACGTTATCCCAAAGCAACTTAGTTCTCCATCGTAAAATGATAATGATGATGATAACTCCTTCCTTCTAATCTTTATCAATGTTGTTCATTTGGACAGTAGACTATTTGGGTAGGAACTGCCATCAGGACTGAATGCATCAGACACGTCTGATCATTTTAGTGTCGTTGGATACATCCCACCCACCGCCTTTGGATGAATCAGCTTGGCCAGATGTGCCAGTATCTGATTTATGAGCAGCAACACCTCGCTCCCCTTCTTTCTCCCACTCTCAACTTCCCGTCTTCATCTTGTGGAGTGCTCCAAGGAGGAGGGGAGAAAGTTTATTTTATAAAGGATGCTCTCAAATTACCCTTCGGCAAATGAAGACGGACGAGGTTGTAATTAATTTTTGATTAAACACTCGCCTGCTGTCTCTGTCAATTTGCAAACTCGTTGTGTCCCACGTGGGGGAGGGGGGGTGCGTGTGTGCATGCAGACAGATGTGCAAAAGGATAGGGGTTGGGGGGGGGGGGTTTGAGGGCA